AAAAATGATAATTATTTAAATTATTTTTTAAAAAATGATAATTCTTTAAATTTTAGATCTTTAATATTCAAAATTAAGCACTTTTAGAATCCAATTATTTTGTAAAAGTTCAGATATTGAAAATTGACAGTCTAAAAAGATATTACAAAATACACTATTTTCAGAACTTGAAATTCATTTTTTTCTCATCTCCGCTATTTTCAGAACTTTGAAATTCATTATTTTTTATCATCAGAACTTGAAATTCATTTTTTTCTCATAATTTCATAACTTGAAAAAAAAAAAATTTCTCATCTTCTTTCTCATCTCTAAATTTATTTATTTTTCTCATCTCGAAGCTGCTTGACGTCGAGACGGTGAATTTGATGATATTTAGGTATCAAAACAACGTGTAAAATTTTTGAGGTGCGCCTAGTTTGATTGTTTAGAACCTCGCACTTATATAAACTTTTTTCCATTGTAAATCTTAATCCTAAAATAACTGAAACCTAAATCTTAATTCTAAAATAACGGCAAGTAAATCTCGTGTAGATATCCTAAGCAACCTACTTCATCATACCCCTAATAAGGTGGTAAATCCCCTAATGAACCTAAATCTTAATCCTAAAATAACGGCAAGTTAATCTCGCTTAGATATCCTAAGCAACCTACTTCACCGTACCCCTAATGAACTGGTAAATCCCCTAACGAACCTAAATCTTAATCCTAAAATAACTGCAAGGAAATCTCGTGAGCCACGTACTTCATTATAACCCTATTGAAGTGGTAAATCGCTTAATGAAGTGGCCCGTTTGTTTCTTGAGTGGATAAGTAGCATGTAGAGGTTACTCATTACTCCAAATTTCAAAGCTTTCTCTCTCTAAAAGTGGGCCATCTCCCTCTGAAACTGGGTACAGGTAGATCATTCTCTTTTAATCTTTTTCTCCATAATTATAATCTCTCTTAATCTCTTTCTCCATAATTACAATTGATTAGGGTTATTAATTTGCATTTACTTTTAATACATCCCTTCCTCTCTTAGTTTGCTCTCTCTCCAACACACTGTCCTTCCCTTTGATCAATAATGCGTTCATAAACCATTTTATGAATATCATCTAATTGTCTACTGGATCATACTATTCGTTTTGGTTTTCATCAAGGAGAATGCCTATTGGATCTATCACTACTCCTTAATGAAATTCGTTTTGGATCTATCACTACTCCTTATTGAAATTCGTTTTGGTTTTCATCGAGGAGAATGCCTACTGGATCATCAATTCTCATTGAAATAATGAAAAAATAATGAACAATGGGAATGGTCATAAATCATTGTATACTTTGGTTGATTTGAAAAAATTTATCTAATAATAGAATTGTCTAGTCGAATATAGAATCATTTAGTGGAATTGTATATTATGAAACCTTTTTGACAAAATTTATCTAATAATAGAATTCCCTATCGGATATAGAAATTTACGTAATAAATAGAATTCCCTTATCGGATATAACCAAAAATTTATCTAATAAATAGAATTCCCTTATCAGATATAGCCAAAAAATTACGTAATAGAAATCAAATTGGATGGCTTGGGATAGAATTCTCTTATCGGATAAATCAAATTGGATGGCTTGAGATGTGTTGTTATGAAGATTGATGGTTTGGAGTGCGTTATGGAGATATCTGCCCATATCTTCTTTACCATTTCATGGCCTTCTCCTATAGACTTCGGGTTTTCTTGTGAACTAACATCTTTCTCTTGCAAAACCCCTATCGTATAAGAAAAGGAGCACAAACTTAATTCGTTATAGGGCTTAATGAAACGCTATGTCTTAAGCTCAATTCCTACTAAAGGTAAAGGCCCTCTCCGTCCTAGGCTCAATTCCTACCAAAGGTAAGGGCCTCTTTCGGATGACTCACCCAAAAAAAAGGTTAGAGAAAAGTTATTAACATGATAATATGCCACCAAATAAAGGGAGACAGCCATTTGAGTCAGCTTATTTGTTGCATTACATAAATGTTTCAAATTCTGACAATATTTGCTGCATTACAGTAATTAATGCTCTATCTCTCACTAGAAAAGTTTCCACTCCTGGATGGCTATGCTCGGAGTTCTCTCTCCTGGCGGCTTAAATGTAACATACCCGTCATAGATTGTCTTTTTTTTACCCTTTATTTCTCAGAGAAAATGACAAAAATATGGTGACCATATTTTTTTTTTCTATGAGTCGGCCGACTCATATGTATATATGCGCCCCCACTAAAATTTATTTTAGATTTTTTTAAAAAAATGTTATTTTGTAGATTCATCATCTAGGCCAAGATGATCATAAATATGAAAACAAAAAATATAATAATGGTAGGTCTTGAAGCTTAGTTTCAAACTTGGATTTAACTGAAAAAGTATAAAAAACATATACAATGAGACCATTTACTTTTGATATCTTATTATTAGATTTGAAATCACGTGATAGAGCATGTGGCATTGTTTGGACATAAAGTCCAAATTAAATTTTTTTGAATGTTATGGAATACTCGATTTCACATCGAATGGCTAAAAGCAATTGTAATCTCCTTGTACCAAAAATAAATGGTCTCATAGTATACAATCTTAAAAATATATTGGCCTAGAGCAATGGGCGATCTAACAGCTAACCACCGGGTTAGATTGAAACCGGCCAATTCCGGTTTTTGGTGGTTTTGGTGATCAATCGGTATTTTAAACTTTAAATAGAATACTATCTCAAATTAATATCAAATATATTATAATGGTTTACTGGTTTGCTTTGATGATTAAATTTTATCTCAATCACAGTTCGAATCCTATTGTTTTTTTTTAGGACTTCATTTTGTTGGAGATCAAAAAACACAAACGCCATCTTTTTACTTCATTTTGTTGGAGTTCAAAATATGCCATTTGGAGTTCAAAAAAATATATGCCCTTAACATTAGGCACACTAACCAGTATGTCATTTACTACTTTGTTGATAAAAAAGGGGCCTATATTATACATAAGTTAATTTTTTCTTTATTTTTTTTTAAAAAAAAAGGAGTTGGACTTGGGCGAATTACTCTCGGCCATGTCCCGATTACCTTAGCCAAGTCGATTTTTTTTAACACTAGTTTAACATTCTTTACATTATGGTAAAGATTAAAAACAGTTTTGGTCATTAATACTCACTTTTATATTTTCCCATATTTTTCAGAAAATTTTAAAAATACGCATAGGCACAAATCGATTAGTTAAAATCCATTTTTTCATTAATTTTCAACTTCATTTGAGTGCGTTTTGTTTTAATCATTATTTATATGCTTTTTATATTTTAGTAGATTTTTTTTGCATCTTTTTTAATTTTTCGACATTTTTTTTACCGTCCAAACCTGCCCGGTTAGAGGGGTTAAATCAGTCGGTTTACCGGTTAGGCCGGTTAAACCGCTTCTGCCATGTCCGGTTAAACTGTTTCGATTCAATTTTGCTGGATAGTTTTGGAAAAGTGAAAAAGAAAAGAAAAGATTAGATACTTCCGGCATAAAATACAAATACACCATGGAGGAGATTTATTTTTTAGGGTAAATATCATACACGTATATGGATTTTTCCCTAATTTTCTCATTTTTTGTTAAGTCCCAAAAGTGGCAATGCAAACATTATGCTCGAAACCACGGTCTATCATTTTCGACTGGTTTGGGTTGATTACAAGAACCAAGGTAGGGTCCATTCCTTTGTTTTTCTTGTTCTCTTTTAATCGTGTTTAGTGGTGTTTCAAGAATAAATGGATCCAAAAATATGTCATGAATGTGATCCATAACTAATTCAACATAATAATGTTAGTCATGTATGCTGGTTACCCGAAAACGAACTAAGAATTTATTAATCCATGAGTTTTTATTCTTTCCTTTTTGCGTGTGTGTTGCGTAAGCGTTATGGACTTTGACTATCGCTGTTATTCAACCATTTCTTCAAATGAGAGAACCAGAAACCCTAAAAATGCAACTGAATAAAAAACCGGCGCCACTGACAATAACAGGTCTACCAAAAACTGAAAAACGAGTATCCTCCTCTCAGTTCTATGCTTTCTCTCTCTCTTCCGGTGTTGGCAAACTCGGTCGGTCCAACTCGAAACCGGAGGGTCAAACTCGAACTGGGCATATTAGGTTTTGGTGGTCTGGTTTTTATTTTAAAAGAAATCATTCATAAAATATAAAATTTCAAAAAATAAAGGAATTATTTGTGATGCATTTTTTAATATTTTTTATCATTTTGACAAAGATATTTCAAAAAATAAAGGATTTATTTGTGATGTATTTTTTAATGTTTTTTATCATTTTGACAAAGATTAAAAAGTGTTTTGGTTAAGAACACTTATTTTTATATTTTTATATCTTTATAAAAAAGTACAAAAATACCCTTCGGCACAAATTAGTTTCTTAAATTTCATTTTTTTTCACAACATTTCAACATCATTTAGATTTTGTTTGATCATGCTTTAAATTTAATTTTCATAGTTTTTTGGATTTTTATTTTTTTAAATATTTTTTGGATCAGTCAAGACCTACCCGGTTGAACCAGCGGCTTTACTGGTTATACAGACCCGGCCCATAGCCGGCTCGGTTTTTCAAACATCGCTTGCTTCAGGCCTCTCTCTCTTAAACTAAGGTTCGAACTTTCTGTGTGTAACCTTTTACTTTACTTGCAGAGACTCTCTCTCCTCATCTGTCCCTCAACAATCTCTCAACCAGGTTTGGTGATCTCTCAACCAGGTTTTCTCTCTTCTCTTCAACAATCTCTCAACCAGGTTTGAGGACCTCTCAACCAGGTTTGAGGACTCTCTTCTCATGGCAGACTGTTGGCCTGTTTTGGTACAAATAGTGATGCAATTCCTTTGGGCTGGTAATTTTCTGGTTAACAAGATGGCCCTCACCCAAGGAATGAGCACCCACGTCTTTGTCGCATACCGAGCAGCCATGGCTACCATTGCCCTTGCTCCTCTTACTTATTTTGAGAGGTAGAATTCCATCTCTTAACTACTTAGAGATTCTATCTCTAAGTTCTCTCTTAACTAAGTTCTTCATATCTCACATGAATTTCCTATTTTTTTTCAGAAAAAAGAGGCCCCCTCTTGATTGGAGACAAGCGTTTCAAATATTCATGCTTGGTCTGATAGGGTAAGAGTCGTCCCTTCTTCATGGTTTTGGTTTAGTTTCATAAACAATGAAGAACATTGTTTTAGCTTTCTTTCTACTAGGATGATTGGAAAAATTTATGTTTTTATGTGGTGTTTTGTTTTTATGTACGAAAAAAAGTTTATATAAATGTGAGGCTAAACAATATGAATGTTTTTATTTGGTATTTTGTTTTTAAGTACAAAAAACAGTTTACATAAAGGTGAGGCTCTAAACAATCGAATTAAAATACACCTCACAAATTTCACTAGAAGGGGGATTTCAATTTTTGAAAATAGTGCATCTTGTCATGCGTTTTTCGACCGTCAATTTTCAAGATTTTCAAGCTTTCATAGATATACTCGATCTACACTAGTTTTGAAGCTTTAAATTTTATAATTAAATATAAAAATATATTTTAAGGCTATCACAAAAATTTCACTAGAAGAGGTTGTTGTGATGCCCAATATCCCATGAATGTGAGAGAAAAAAAAAAAAAAAAAAGTAAGGGAATTCAAGTTTTGAAAATAGTGCATCTTGTCATGCATTTTTCGATCGTCAAATTTCAAGATTTTCAAGCTTTCATAAATATACTCTATCTACACTTTTTAAGGCTATTGCAAAGATTTTCAATATTAAAACCACATTCTACCGCACTCTTTGAAGGTGCGTTCTACTTTGATGGTTTAGAGCATCAGCTCTATACAAACCGCACTCTTTGAAATTTTTAAGTTAAAAGATGCAGGTCCATCGCCATATTATGCTGACGTGGTTTTAAAAGTCCAAATTTCGAAATGCTAAAATTACATAAAGGTGAAATGCTAAAATTACAAAAAGGGTGCAGTTGGCATACGTATGCATCCGTAGCTGTAGGTAAAGTGCAACTTCAAATTTTATCATGGTATATAATTTTAATGTAAAATGTTAGTAGGATTATCTCATAATCTATTTTTATATCTAATTATAAAATTTTAAATTTCAAAAATGGTTAAAATCAAGTAGATCTATAAACCATATGAAAGTCTTGAAAATGGACGGTGTAGATAATATGTTGTAAAATGCACTATTTTTGAGAATTAAAATCTTTTTATTTTTCATGGTCATATATCTTGATGTCAAGATCAAAAGGGTTTTCAACATTAAAACTACCTTTTCCGATAGATTTTTGAGCTGCATTCAGAGTTCTACATTATAAGGTTGCATCCTTATATAAACTTTTTCCTTACAAAAAACACTTTTGTCTAGGCGGCTTTGGTGAGTTAGTGGGGAAAGGGCCCCACCCTCGATAGGAATTGAGCCTGCCACAAAAATAGAACAGCCCAAAATACATAAAAGGAAAAAGATTATATAAGGGCGAGGCCCTAAACAATCAAATGAAGGCGCACCTCAAAAAACTCACTAAAAGAGGTTATTTTGGTGCTAAAAAATCTTCAAATTGATCATCTCAACCTCAAGATGTATGGACAAAAATTCACTAAAATAGGTTATTTTGATGCCCAAAAATCTTCAAATCGATCATCTCGACCTCAAGATGTATGGACAAGAGAACAAATGGATTTTAAGTCTTGGAAATAGTGTATCATTAAATAGATTTGTTAATTTTTATGATTTTCAAATGTTCATATATTTGCCCGATCTACACTAGTTTTGAAACTTTAAATTTTATAACTAGATATGAAAATAAATTTTGAGGCCCTTACAAAGACTTTTTATACTGGAACAACATCTTTTGATACTATTTGAAGGTGTACCTTACTTTGATTGTTTAGGGCATCAACCTTATAGAAACCACACCCTACATAAAAAGCTCCAAGAAAATAAGACCCTATGGTAGGATGCCGGCTGGTCCTAGACCCAGACCCAGACCTAGCTGGACCTGAACTCGATTCAAAAATAAATAATAAATAAAACATATATATATATATATATATATATATATATATAT